CACGTGGAATCACCGTGGTGGAAACAGAGAAAGTACGCTGCTCATAAGGGCTCACCAACAAAGTTCACGTCGCACAGGCAGGAAAGGTACATAAGAGACTCAAGATAAAATACTTCTGAGGTGTTTATCTCTGAACGGGAGTGAGTCCTCACACCCTGATCTTCTCCTTTTCCCTACCTCTCCATCTTGGTGAGAAAGTGAGCCGCCACCGCAGTCGAGCTCAAAGAGGCCTGCGGTATTTGTGGCGGTTTGGAGCGGCCGCGTAATCTCCAGGGCTGAGCCACTTCTTACCACTTGAGCCAAGCTGACTCTAGAGGGCCCTACTGTCACCGAGACAAGGGTTTGATGTTTGATTTCGAAGGTATAGTGACTATAAATGCATTGTACACTCACCTACGAGGACGGTCTTTTCCTGTGAATGGGTGAATGGGTCCGCAGCTGCAGTGGCATGCCGCTATCTTCGCTCAAAAAAGTATGAAAACGGGGCTAAAGGTGGTCATGCCCAGGTGTTGTCTCCATATTCCACCGCGCTATCCTCAATGTGATGCACTTACCTTGATACCAAGGACCCGCAGCGGAAAACACACTCAGCGGTAGAGAATAACCATATGTGAGAGGGCACAGAAAAGCAGCGCGCTCGATTCAAGTTAGGCGCGTGGCTGGCAGTGCACTGCCTAGCGTTGTGATCATTCCCTGAAAATTACAACCCCCCCTAAGTGCCCTCAAAGATGACCCCCCCTCTCCCATGCTACCTACCACTTTCAGATTTTTCCAACTTCCTATCACTTCTTCCATTTTCCCGAAAAAAATTCCAGTTTTTCAGCCAAAAATTTCCCGTGGAGGGAAGGGGAGTATACACCCAATGTGAACACAGAGAAGTTTCTCAGATTTCCCCCTAACCTAACCCCCCCGTTGTGATCATCACAACGATGGCGTGCCTTGGTGGCTGTCCGTGTGACAGTGCGGATGGAGTCGGGGAACGGCACCCTGGTGTCACCATCCTGAACCCCATTCTGGTGCACTTTTGACCGGACAAAGTGGCACGCTAATGCAGTTGCGAAGACATTCAGCACACACATGACAGGCATGATCCACCGAGGTGAGTGTACGGCTCATCTTAGAGGCCAGCGTTCAGAGCAGATGTCCCAAAATCCATTGACATCATTACGAAGCAACTCGTCCCAAAGCCATTGACCCCATCATTACGAAGCAAATCTTATGGTTAGAGATGAGGTCATGAGTAAGATGTCCCATGTCCCCCTTACCGCCCCGTCCCTGTGCAGTGAGCACCTAGAGTACCACTTTCTCAAGCCTGTTTAGGCTGCCACTTTTTCAATCCTTTTTCGTGAACACTCTGATAAGATAACACTCGTCATGTATTGATTACGGCTGAAAAAAGTGCACGTGTCGAATATAAAGAAGTTAGAGGAATTAATCACATAGATCGTAATTAGCAGTGAGAAATGTAAACAATGACGTCCAAGATAGAAAGAAACACCAACCTCGCTAGCATCATAGATCTTGTAGTTGACAGCAATGTCACACTTTTCACGAGTACCAAATCCAAGTGTGGCGAGACTGAGCGGGATGCCATTCGGATAGGCAATCGTCACATCGAGCACATACCGGTATGGTTGCGACGACGTTTCTGGAATCGAGCAGTCATGAGAAAGAATCAGTTCGGACGGAACTATCAGTAACTTGTCGCTACCGATGAAGGGGCGTGTTTCTGCTGCGGCTGCGGTGGTCACTTCCAAATACATTGTCCCACGGTTGTAAGGCACAGATATGACAAAACAACTGCGTGAAAAAGAGCTGACATGATACTGCCTATTTTGTTGCCGCAAACGAAAAATAACGTTGCCTCGCACAGCCTCCTTTTTCTTTTTTTTTCCTGCCACACAACACCCCCTAAAGGCAAGCCCGCGACCACAGATTGTGGGTAACGGAACCCACATAGGAACGAAAGGGCTTGGGTATCTGATTAGCGGAGAAAAGCAGCAGAAAAACAGCCGAAATGCCCTAAATAGGATTCCATATCGACCCCAACTTGTACATGCATGCAATGAAGAAAACGCATGTTTGTACGAATTTCCACTCGTCGTTATCATAAAGATATCAGCTCTTTTATCTTATCACCTCACTCTCACCATTCGGAATGGAGAGAGATAGTATAGTGGCTACTAGCTAGTAGCTAGCAGCCGGTGGGGTCGGCATGGGCCTAAGGGGCGCCCATGGGCCTAATTGGTTAGTTTAAAGCGGAATTCTTGCCGATTTTCACTTTCTAAAGATAGCGCAGCCTCCGCAATCTCCTTCTGGATCGTCTGACACATTTGAAAGGTCATAGCCTTATTTTATCGCGGAAAGTGCCCTTTAATCCTCAGCGAACCAGCCATACGAACACCACTCAAAAGGATCAAAATCAAAATTAATTTTGGTCAGTGTTAGGAAATACTTTCATAACGGCACATTGATCACTGACCGAAGAATTTAAAAATCGCTAAAAAATATTTGGACTGCTTAGGACAAGCGTCTGAGACACATCAGCAATGACCTGATAGGTGGAACCTATTCCTTGTATAAGAAGTCCCCGCCCGCAATCTCGGACGCTCTCACTTTCG